TGACAGGCACTGTGTTGAGACCTTTATGTGGATTCTTAAAAAAATTTAGCCACAACCTTGAATTTAGCTGTCATTTTCCCCTTCTTATGAATGCTGCACATGGAGCCCACAGAGGTCAGGGAGCATGCCAGAGTTATGCAGCTAATAATAGAAAACCTGGAATAGGTATTCAGGCCTGTCTTATCCCAAAGCCCATATTCATTCTGGTGTACCAAAGAGCCTCTTGCTATTCCTCTTATACCAATGAACCAAATCATGAAGTTCAGGCAGTTCATCTTGTGTTCAAGTTAGACTCCAAGGACAAGTGCTCTACCACCAAAGTCCATTGATCTTCAACCTTAGCATATTGAAAATGTGGTGAAGGCCTGGGGCAAGGGGTGGGTGCAGACTAAAAGGGATAAGTGGGGGAAAAGGGAACATCTGTAATACTTTCAACAATAAAGATTAAAAAAAAAGACAAAAATTTTACACATTGCTTTCAAACACTGCCCTTTAGCCATACTCAAAGAACTAAATAGAATCAAATAAAATGGAAGTATAAATATAATTAGGAAATCAAAACTTACACAATCTTTTGACATCCCACTTTCACTCTTCCTCATTATATATTCTAGATCACTAATCTGACTCCATTTTAGAGTAGGGTGATACCTTTTTACCATTGTAGAGGTCATTCCACTGCATTGCCTGAGGATCCCAAGTGGAAAATCAAACTTATTTCTGTCCCTGTGCTGTTCTAGTCATTCTGCCCTTATTTTCTATTCTAGCTGGCATGTGCTTGGACGCTCTCAGACCTGTGAAGTGTGACTATAGCCAGGGAAGACTTCTCATTTCATTGATGTGCTGCACATAGGGCACCGGAGTGCACTGGAGAGCTGGGCACTGAAAATGCTTTTGAGAATACAGGGTCCAAAAGCCCAGGAGATGAAAAAATCCCATACTTTTCTGACTTCAGGCACAGGCAGCATATACACAACACATGTTATCTGTAGAGTCGTTCTCTTTGGATATTAACCGCATCACCCAGCAGAACTCTAAAGAGCTTTTATGCATGTTTGGTGTAGAGCTAAAGTTGTTTACTTCCCCTGAATATATAGTCACAGACTTACACAATTATGCTAAAATGTGGATGGTCCTTTTACGATAAAGGACTCGCTTTCTGTATGCAAAGACAGCACATAAGTAATTTATGGATGCTACCGTCATTTGCTAAAATATGCTGACGGGAGAATGGCCCATTCAATATATAAATGTGCCTGATGTGCCATGTTCCTTGCCATTTGTTTATTTACTTATTTTTAAGTAGAAGAGTAGATGTTTTGTACCAAGAGCAATATTTCCTAGGTATATAATAATACTGCTTAATAGACAATCGATTTTGAAGATAGTTTAAATCTGTCTATTATAAAGTCACATAATCAGAATTTATGGAGTCTGTGTAAGTGGAAATATCTGCTTAGGAGTGCAAGGTTCTTGAGATTAAACTTCTACTGCTCTTACTTCTCCTGAATTAAATATCGGTCTACCCATTAGCCAACAAAGGGACAAAGTATACATGTTTCACATTGGTGCTCTCACTTCTGCCAACATTTATGAATAGGCACTTTTCTAAGTGCTTTATAAGTAATAAGTCATTTAATTTTCACAACAAGTCTATGAGATAGAACTATTATTATTCTTATCTTAGCAATGAAGAAACTGATGTTTCAAAAATGGAATAATTTATTTAAGGTGACATAATTAATTTAAAAAAGTCTAAATTTTAGAACCTTTGTTGCTTACCCACTACACTCAATAGGAAGTTTCACCACATCCCACTCAGCTAGCTAATATTTTTGCGTGGACTTTCTATCAAATATGTACCATATTCCTGAGAGGTTTCTACCCAATACTTGTTTATTTGATGCCATATAGAAAGTTGAAATAGTTTTAGAGCTTAAATTCACTGTTATGCTTACACCTCAGTGGTCAGGACAAGTGAGGGGTCCTCCCATAACTGTCATATTAAATAACTTACTTCTGGGGGTCACTGTGGTGACTGCTAAAATTCTCAGGGAAGGAGGCAACGTCAGGTTTAGAGAAATTATTTGGAAGATTCCTAGGTGAATATGTAAATAATTCTAATGAATCCCCATTACCTGAAACAGCCTCTGCCCACTCCTAACTTGTTAAATACTTCATCTCTCTCCATCCCTTTGGATGTGATCTCAGCATACTGGGGAAGATTCTGTCATTTACAAAAAATCCAGAAAGGAACCCAGAAGTCCATTAGCAAGATGACCATGAGTGACTTATGAATGGAGGTGCTGTGAAAATCAAGAATCAAGGGAACACTACTAGCTCTAGCCAGAAGGAGACTTTCCAAAAAAAAATTTCAGTAAATTATGGGTGAATTCAGAGAGGATTGTTTATATACAATGAAGACCCCGCCCTAAACATCTTGTTAGGTAATACAATAATAAATTCTTTATTTTTAGGCCAGCTGAGTTAGGATTTTCTGCTATTTTCAGGTAAAAATAACTTAAGAGACAGCCTAAATAATATGTCTTCTCCATATTGCCAAAAGCTTTGCATGATTTTTTGACTGTTGATACTAATTTCAAATGAATGGATCCTTTAGATAACCCGCCTCCTTTTGAAATTTGGTGCTGATGTAAATGTAAGTGGTGAAGTTGGAGATCGGCCCCTGCACCTAGCAGCTGCAAAAGGATTCTTTAATATTGCAAAACTCTTAATGGAAGAAGGCAGCAAAGCAGATGGTAAGATTATATGTTCAGAAGACCTTTGCCCTCTTATTTACTGGAAAATATCTTAAAGAAGATTAATTCTGTCCTTATGCAATAATTTGTCCTATAAGTCATAATTTATTATACTTAAAATATTAACTAAATCTATGTGTTCATACTTCTTTATACATTTTAGCTCAATTCTTAATATATTAGGTGCTGCAGTTTAAAGTAGTGGGGTTGTCCTAGATAAATGATTCCTATTTGTTGTTATTCACTAATCTTTTTCTTTTATTGGGATCAAGTTTATATACAGAAAAATTTTTAAATCTTAAGTGAATATTGACTTAACTGACTATTTACTTACGCATACACCCATGTAAAAACCAGCCATGTCAAGTTATAGAATATTTTCATCTGGAAGGTTGAGCTCTGGAAATTTCCCTTGTGCCTCCTTCTGAGTAAATAGCTTTCACTACCAAAGGTAATCAATATTTTGACTTCTGTTGCCATAGGTTAGTTATTTTTCTGTTCTGGCAGTTAGTAATTTTGTGACCACCTTCTTTTGATCAACATTATGATTTTGACTTTCATTTATATTGTTGCATGAATTATAGTTTGGAATTTAAAATAGTTGTTATTTTTCAATTATAGTGGATATACAATATTATATTAGTTTCAACATGTAAACAACATTAAATTAGTGTACAACATGTATATATGTATGTGTATATATGTATACACACATATATTTATGAGTGAAATTTCCAAATCAGAAGGTATGCACATGTTTAACGTTTGAAGAAATTTCAGAGTTTTCCAAAGTGTCAGTATCCCTTTTCACTCTCATATCAATATATGAGTGTTCCCTATATCTCCCTTAATATTTGATATTACTATTATTTTAAATGAAAATGAAATTAGAGTGTGATAAATTTGGAGGGAAATATCTTTAGAAAATGACCTAAAGATTTTAGATGCAGTTAACAGAATAGAATTTCCTGCAACTTTATATTTTTTAAATTATAAAATGAGTTTTTGGAAAATTGATTGAAAGTAGAGCATGAAAAAAAAATTTCCTTTTTCTTTTTCTCTTCCTCATAAACTTTACTTTGACACAGATTCCCTCAGAGTTACATCTTGTCATTAAATTCTCTCAGGCAAATCCAACATTCTTTCACTGACCCCCAAGAGACCTAATTAAAAGCCCAGCTGTAAAAGCTGCTGGCCTTTGCAGCAGAAACGATGCACATTTATAAAAGGACAAGGTTGTCAAAGCTCTAGAACTTCCCGTTCCTTGGTCCCAAATTGAAACTGATATTGAGCTAATAAAGCTAACCAAAGTTTTCATTTGCTCATAAGGAAAACACAAAGGCTCCCAGATACAACTCTGAGGAGAGGCTAAGGAAGTTTCCAGTTTCCATGTTGGAAACAGAGCCATATTACTTTGTAAAATTTAAGAAACCTAGTTTGTGTCATTTTCTATGAGCCAGTGTACGATAACTTAGGCATCTTTATCGCATTAGCATAAACAACCGGTGCCACCCGGATGCAGGGCAGGCTGTCCCTGGAGCTTGTTAAGTAGTCTCTGGGATTCTGTTAGCTTAGAATAGTCAGAGGTACACACCTCTGTGAACCACTGAACACATAATTGTGTTTTTTGAAACCGCCTCACTCTTCCAAGGAGCCAGGAACTGCTCATTTTCCCCCTTTTATTGTCAATGCCTAACTGCTTTTTACTCATCTTCGTAACTCCAAAGCTCGGTGGTGTCAAAATGAGTGCATTTATGATCAGCATGTCTCCAGAATCAAAGCACTCTTCTACAAAAGGTATTGAAATGTGTCCTGCACCTGAATTCCCCCTACATCCCAGCCTCATGTGATATAATTATAAGCATTTTCTTTCTGATTGACACAAGCTCTACATGCCTCCTACTCAATCATTTAACAACTCGAGAGACAGCATGACTCAGATTTTTAAATATATTTTTTAGATTATCTTTTAATACACACTTGATATTTAAGTTCCTTTTGCACTTCAACCAATTGCAAAGAATAAACCAGAAGATCTGTTATGGTGACAGACATTACACATTTATTATTTGCTAGTTCACTGATTCCCAAATGTAGCTAACCCTCCAGTGGATCTATTTACTTACCACAGGATCTTGTCTATCATAAATGGACATAGGAGGAAGAATAAATGAATTACCCCAAAAAGGAGCACAATTGGAAATCTGATATTTTCAGTATGTTTCCTTGGTAACAGAATGTCACAAATGAAAATAAATTTGGGTTACAAAATTAGCCAAAATGCAATTCTGAAAGTACCCTCTTCAGTTCAACATGGCTGAGAGACTGACCTACTCAATCATGTATCTTTTAAGTCTCCATCTTTTTTCTTATATCTCTCAGGGCAATGAAAAGGGATAAATGTAATGCTTATTGAATGAAATTGAAAAGGTCAAAATATTGTTGAACTCTGTAAGAAGAAAATGGTGATACATTCGTCACAATCTTTAAAATTCAGGATGTTTAAATTTGTTATCCTCTGACTGTTAAAATCTATAGTTCTTTTAACATGAAACTGAATATTGTAGAAAGTCATAAAATTTCTAGGACATGGTCAATAAGAGGAAGTATTTATTCTTTAAAGTATACCTTTTCAGAAATATTACACAGATTTATTATTGAAAATCTAAGACACATGTGGGAATTGCTTTAGAGAGCTAATAGTATGTGCTAATATTGCTGGTTAATATGAAATTTTTTGTTTTTCTTTAAGATCAATAAACTGACATAAGCAAGTAATAACATCCATTCACCCATCCTTTTATCCAATCTTTCTTTCAAAAGACATTACTGAATACATATTCTCTTAAAAGTGGAGGAGTAGACACTAAATATTTTTCAAATACCAATGATTCACGAATATTGCTTTGCTAGAAATTTTACTTTATTTAAATATTTCAATAAGGTGTTAAGTTAGAGAAAATAGAATATCATTCATATATCCAATTTCCTCAGAGAAGATAAAATAACGTATACTTTTCTTGTCCTTGCAAATTGGTCCAAGACAAAACTAAGTAAATAACAATGACTGAAGCATAAATATAAGTGTATACATCTAAGCTCTATACCTGATCCAGATTTCTCCTGACGTGTCCCTTTGGTTGGCGTTTATATATTCTTTGATGGGAACAATATCTAGGCCATTACAGGTAATTCACGAAGTGGATAATCTACTTTGAAGTCTCTCAATTCAACTATTAAAGAATAATGTTGGGTGGGGCCAGGGATGGCCAAAGGCAAATTATGAATTAATAGAAGATTGTGCTTCATTCTGTTTTACAATGTCCCCTCTGGACCTCAAGAACTCTTATGTGACCTCCAGATGCTCTGGACTCCCTACTGTCCTCAGGCATCGACTCACAGTATTGACTTTCCCTGGCTTCCAACAGGATGTGAACAAAGGAAAAGTATCATAAAAAGGAAGATAATCAAAACAACTAGAAACACTCTTCTGAAGGAAGGGCACCCTTGAGTCACTCATTAATAGAAAGGAATCAAAGATTTATTTTTCAGTAACAGCTTCGGGAGGAGGAGTTCAGTGATTTTGCTAAAGAATTTCCCTGTGGCTTAATATCTTGCAGGAAAATACAATGAGAGTAATTATCTAAAAATATAGCAGCTACAAGGCCTAAATTCATGTTCATTACATTTCAAATGGTGATTATAATAACAGTACAGTAGTAATGAACTAGTACTTACACATTTTTAAATTAACTATTTTCTTCCCTTTTTTCCCCTGTCATTCATCATTAAACTTTTCCCCCTTTGATTCTTTTGGTTCTATGAACAATTTGTATACATATGAGGATTAATTGGGTTTATTAAGGACTATTATTTTCTATCCTGAATAAAGCACTCTGTACATATTTTTAAATGGCTATAGACCAGTTGATTCAGTTATTTTAGTTTTAAAAATTATGCTAAAGCTAATCCAGAATTGGTGTTCAGTTACTATTACTTTAGTCCTGTAATTCTTGACGATCCAACTAGCTTTTAAGTTATATGAGGGTATCAACTCTATGCATTTATAGCTTATTGGTCTTAGCACTTAGCAAACGTCTAGGAGGGAAATTAGTAAAAATGGAGAAAAGACATTTTTATTAAGTGCCTAATATGTGAAAGGCATCATGCTAGAAGCTTTCCAATTATACTCTCCTTGAATCCTTTCAGCATCCCTGCAACAATTGTGTTATTACATCTATTGCTACTGAGAAGAAATCAATACATCTGACACCTGGCACAGTGCTGGTGCCTAGCGATCATTTCAGACTTGTTGAGGAATGAATAGGTATCAGTCAGGTCTTCTCAGCTGCAAGCACTGGAAACTAACTTCTGCTAGTTTATAAAAGGAATATGTTAAGGATATCAAGCAGCGTGCAGAACCTTCCCCAAGACAAGGTTGGAAAGCGAGGTCCGGAATCCTTATAGTGAAGAACAATATCCCAAGTCACAATCCACAACTAGTCCTATGAAGATACACGGCCACCCTGCATGGCACACACAGCACCACTTGCGGTTCTGGCACCAGCAATGCAGGGCACTGAGTCTGGGGCTGGATCACTCCTGCTGGAAACTGGCTGGCGCTGCTCCGCCAGTGCTGCATTGCCCAGATAGCTTCGGCTCTGCTTTGTTCGTGTCATCAGCTCCAATGTCAGAGTCTCATATGAGGTGTTGGTTGGAAGAGCCTATAGATAAGTGTCCAAGGGCACTATTGAGAGTGAAACGGTCACTATGAAACATTATGCTAGACTAACAGGCCTAAACCGAACATATGGTCACCCTCTGCCAGTCCTGTTCCCTTGCTGCAAAGGAAACTTGGAAATATTTTCAGCTTCTATGATAGAACATGGTTTGGGCCTCTTTTAGTGCAGGGAATTCACCAAATGTCAGAATAGGTTATAAGGCTGGGTGGGCTGAAGAGAAGGACAAATGCCCACTGCTGAGTGAGCAATTGAATGTTAAATAACTGTCCGCGGTAATGGGATTAATGAGGTCTGCCTCACTCTAAAGCTCATTGGTTTTTATCATACCTGCTCTGTATACCATAATGTGAACATTCTCAGTTAAGGGTACATCGGAACCTCCCAAACAGTGTTGTAAACATACAGAGAGCTAGGCCCCTCCCTAGCTTGTTAAACCCAAATCTCAGAAATGGTGCTCTGGCCCGGAGCTGTAATTTTTGACATCCTCTAGAGGAGGAGAAAATCAATTTGAAAGGAGATACTCGTGGAATTAAAGCCATGAGCACCTTTTAGGTGCATATTAGTTTCCTGAACTATTCCATTGTGCAAGGTAGATTTGATTAGATGAGTTCCATAGAATTTATGGGAACTAGAAGAAAGCCTGCTTAATGTGGTAATAGGCAATAGAATATAATTATAACTTTTTAAATTGATTGCACTTAATTTCCTTTATTATTATCATTAATTGGCAATTTCTAGGAGTCTCTCAGGCACTTAGGAAAAATCCCTGACACTACCCATGAGAAGGCTAAGGAACAGGGCTTCCAGGTGACATACCTTTTTCTCTCATTGATGACAGTGAATGCTCAGGACAATGAAGACCACGTCCCACTTCATTTCTGCTCTCGCTTTGGACACCATGATATAGTGAAGTTCCTGCTCCAGAGTGATTCAGAAGTCCAGCCTCACGTTGTTAATATCTATGGAGACACCCCTTTGCACCTGTGAGTATTATGTATAATTCTATAGGTCCTCCAGGTATTTGGCATGTACCTATTTACTGTGATCAGAACATGTTCTTTAACCCTAGGGCATGCTACAATGGCAAATTTGAAGTCGCCAAGGAAATCATCCAAATATCAGGAACAGAAAGCCTGACTAAGGAAAACATCTTCAGTGAGACAGCTTTTCACAGGTAAATGAATATTTAAATACAATAGCCACTACACTTAGCGGACACCCTATGGCACCTGCAGTTGTGTACATACAGCAAGGCAGGATAATGGCAGATGTTGCAATCAGAGAGCGAGAGCAGAGGGTGGGCAAGACAAGGATCCCAAACTACAAACACAGGAGATAAGGTAGAGGCAGATGCTGCAGTTAGTACAACAGATGGGGCCTGTGCCAGATGCTGCATTCCTGGCAGCAGCCCCAAAGACAGGGACTGATGTTGCCAAGGCAACAGGCATATCAACATCTGTAAGCATATTGTTTCGTTTCCACTTCACTCCACAGAAAGCTGCCAAAAGGGGCAGGGCCCATCGTCCTCCTCCTACAAGAATCTCATTACTGGAATTCATTAGCATTAAATGTGACACTTTTTTACTAAGCACATAAACCTTATGTGCAAATGTATCTCCCTATCTAAGACATCCATCTGTCGGCTATAAAAGCTTAGTCAGGGTGGCCAGTGAGAGAACTAGGAAGGCATTAGCTCCTTTCTAGCCATCTATGAGAGTCCTTGACAATATGCTTTTTGATCTAGAAAAGCATTCTGAAGGAGCAGCTGGATTTGGAAAAGTTGCAACAAAGAAGGAAAGAAGGGAGGGAGAGGAGGAGAGAGGACAGGGAAAGGTAGCTAATAACTCAGAGTTATCACTTCCTAAAGTGTCCATAAGGAACAGATTTAAAACCTTCATTTTTAGCAGGTGACTATCGATCACTTCCTAAAGTGTCCATAAGGAACAGATTTTAAACCTTCATTTTTAGCAGGTGACTATCCTATATAATAAAAGTGTAGTATGCAAATTTTCCACTCTATCCGGAGTTGTCCAGGAGTTTGACCAGAGGGTGGGGCAAGAATGGTAGGCATAAAAGTGTAGTATGCAAATTTTCCACTCTATCTGGAGTTGTCCCGGAGTTTGACCAGAGGGCGGGGCAAGAATGGGAGGCCCCGGCCAGCGGTTGGCAGCCACTAGGGACCCTATCAGTGCATGAATTTCATGCACTGGGCCTCTAGTTTGGCTATAAAAATAAAAAGAGTAATTTTAATTGTAAAACTTGAATATAAGATAAGTTACCTGCACATTTCAGATGCCTTGGCCAGTTTGTAACCTCTAAAAAATAAACAAAATAAGCCTGGGACTCTATATTTGCGTAGTGTTTCTATTACAGTGGTAAATAATTAAATGAAGAGGCCCCTTTTCATACTGCACTAAAGTTAAGCTTGTGCTTCTGCATTAGGTATCAACCTGTCAAATTTCACTGGATTTCCAGATTTTTCTTAGCATCCAAGAGTTCCACAAAAAGGGAGGCAAAGAAAACTACCACTTATGGAGTGATTATATGCCGGATTATTTGTGTCTATTATCTTATTTAAACCTCATAACCATTTTACAAAGTTGGATTACTCCTCTTTTACAGATGAGAAAAATAGAGGCTTAGAAAAGCTGCGTAACTTGCCAGAAATTCTTATAGCTAGAAAATCATGTAATAAATACCTGCCTAAACTCCTGTACTATTTTTATATATCTTCATGTTCTGGTACCAAAATATTTTGTCTGTTTTCTATACCCTCTGTAACAGAACATATTCAAGAACTTTTTGGATCCTACCTTCAGTTGAAATGGATCAGTAGGATCTGTCACTGAAGGGGACAATTAGCAGAACTGATATGTACAGGTTCTTGGTGTTCCCTTTTCCCATAGGTCATGCTTGTTAAGGCTGATACCTCAGGCTAGTTTTCAAATCATTTTGCTATTCAGTGCACATAAATTGGAACCAACTCTAATCAGAAGATGATTGTCACTTCCAGAGGATTGCTTATCTGACAAGATTAGTGAAGTTGCGTTAAAAGTATGTTCAGTTGTTTTATTTTTGTGCAAGCCTGTGGCAATTAGAAATAACATGATGTTTTTATTCTAGTCATTTTAAGCATAAAATAAACTTCCCTTTTACATGAGAAATTTACTCAATTCTGAATTATTCTATGTGCAAATCACAGTGCTTTGTATATAGCAAGCACTCTATTTCTATTGTTTTCATATGTATATATAAACATACACATATGAATACACAGACATATAATATTATGGAAACTATTTATAATGCAACTAATCAATGCTGGTAAAGTCTATTGCAGTGATATGGCAGCTTTTTATTCACTCAATGAATTATTCAAGAAAGATTAATTAAGAACTAGCCTTGTGTTGGTACAGTAGGAACATTAAGATGATAAGATTTCTTCTCTTCTTAAAAGAATTCTGTTGTAAGGTATCAAGGTAAGCAGAGGTACTCCTATAAACACCCAGCATCTGGAGTAGCCTGGGTAAATCGAGGCTGTATTTATTTTCTAGGGTGGCCATAACAAAATGCCACAGACTCTGTTGCTTGAAAACCAGATGTTTATTTTCTCACAGTTCTAGAACCTGGAAGTCCAGATCAAGGCATCAGAGGGTCTGGTTTCTCCTGAAGTCTCTCTCCTTGCCTTGCAGATGGCCACTTTCCCCCTGTGCCATCACATGGTTGTCTTCTGTGTCTGTAACTGTGTATGGATCTCCCCTTCTTATTAGGATACCAGTCATATTAGGTTAGGACCCACTCTAATGGTTCAATTTTTAACTTAATTACCTATTTAAATCATATCCCTTTAGATATGGTCACATTTTGAGGTTTTGTATGTTGGAGTGTCAGCATATTAATTTGAGGGGCATGCAATTCAGCCTAAAACAAGGGCTTTTTATTTTTTTTATGGTATATTTTTTGCAGTGCTTGTACCTATGGCAAGAACATTGACCTGGTTAAATTTCTTCTTGATCAAAATGTTGTAAGCATCAACCACCAAGGAAGAGATGGGCACACAGGTAAGGCTGTGGTGAGATCGTCACTAGTTTATGAGGCATATCCAAAACTGTCAAGAAAAGTAGTATGCTCAAGAAGAAAGGAGGCGGTGGGAGTGGTCCACCCCAGTGGGGAGGGATATTTTATCAATTACATCATTTAGAATTGATGGTGCATGGTGATAACAAAAAGTACCATGTTTGAGTAGTTTCACTGTTGTGCTAAAGTATCTCTAGTCAATGAATTCCTTGTGCCCTGCACCAAGAACAGACAAACCACACTGCTTTGCCCTTGGTTGGATGATCAAGAAAAATACTTGATTGGGTCTTTGTTCTTTGATATGTAAAAAGATGCCTACCTTTGTTCTTGGTAATTACAATGGATATAGAAATACTAGGAATTGTGCTAAACAAAAAGGCAGTCTATATAGAAGATCAACTAGAATAGTACACTTCTTTTGCCTAAAGTATATCTTATTTGCTCAATAATGGAATTAATTCATTATCAAAGAAGTAATTCCTTCCTTTATATCTCTGGCAACAAATCTATTATGTGGTAATGAGTGTCTTTTGAAAATTGGATTGTTTTCCTCTTTTTTCCTTTTGCACTTTCATTCTATTCTATTATAGGATTGCACTCTGCTTGCTACCATGGTCACATTCGCCTCGTTCAGTTCTTACTGGATAATGGAGCTGATATGAATCTAGTAGCCTGTGATCCCAGCAGGTCTAGTGGTGAAAAAGATGAGCAGACATGTTTGATGTGGGCTTATGAAAAAGGTATATTTTTCATCATTGCATCTCTCTAGTAATACATGGAACTGTGTGCATAGTTTATGGCATCAATAATTCTTTTTTTGCTTGTGTGATTTGCACACTCCCATTTCTCTGTAAATTATATTTGAGTCACTGGAGACTTGCATCAAAGAGTCCAATAGACCATCAGTAGAGAAGACAACTCCTGAGCTACAGGTGAACAGAAGGCATGCTTGGTATTGGCACTTAGTAAAGAGAATGACCTCGCATTCCTAGATACTAGAGAAACAAAATCATGATGGGTAATGACAGTTACTCTCTTAGAGTAGATATAGAGCGAGTCTTTATCTCTTATACTGGGGAAATTTTTATGTGAATACACATTTTTTAAAGGGAAATAAATGCAAAGAAAGAAAGGGAATGTTTGTCAGATCTGCTGACAATGCCTCTACTAGAAAAAGTAATGGAGCTAATGATTAGTGTTTAAGTATAAACTTACTGGAGTGCAAACTGGTGCAAGCTTGGGCTATGATGGTAGAATACCTGGGTTTAAATCAAGCCATGTTCTTTTATCTTGAGCAAGTTATTTATTATTGCTGAACTTCAGTTTCTTCATCTGGAAAATGAGGACAACAACTCCTTTTACAAGATTGTAAAGAGTAAATGAGATAGTATGTGCAAATTGCTTACAACAGTGTCTGGCATAAATGAGTACCTAATAACTGTATTTTAATAATGATAACATTGGTAATAGCAGTAGTATAGAAATAAAGATGATTAATAACAAATTCTTCATTTTAAGGGAAAGGAAACTAGAGAGAATTAGAAGGTGAACTAGCATCTTTGTCATTGCTATTAAGATATATTGTGTCTTAGAAGCAAGCTGTACATAAGTGAGCTCTATAAACATGAGGCCCTATGGCAGTGGTTCTCAACCTTCTGGCTCTATAAATACAGTTCCTCATGTTGTGACCCAACCATAAAATTATTTTCGTTGCTACTTCATAGCTGTAATGTTGCTATTGTTATGAATCATAATGTAAATATCTAATATGCAGGATGGTCTTAGGCGACCCCTGTGAAAGGGTTGTTCGACCGCCAAAGGAGTCGCGACCCACAGGTTGAGAACCGCTGTCCTATAGAGTTTAAATTTTTGGAGGACATGGAACAATAGACATTGTAATTGAAATCAGAGAGTAACACCAAATGCTATAAAATATGTCAGAGTTTGATGTCTGCATTGCCTTATTAGGAAGTTTAAAGTATGTAAAGAAGTGTATGTAAAGAAGTTTGGACTTCTAAGATTTTAAATGCTAAAATCTTAGAAGTCCAAACTAAAGGAGAACAATTACTAAACTGGAAGATTTATCAGGCTACCTGAAATAAAACATGAAAGTCCATTTATTGAAAGGAGAAATGGAGTTTGATGGATAGAAATAGGCAGCTATTATAAGAACATAGACGAGGAGAAAGAAAAACATACAGGTTTGAAGATTTCTAGTAAAAAAGAAAAAGACATAATAGTTACTTTAATTAAAAAAGTGAACAAATGTGGAATAGTAGAGACTTTGTAGATATAGTAGTAGGACTGCTATTTTTATTTGTGTTGTATAAGTACATACACACATATATGTTTGCACATTATAGTTCAATGAATTTTCACAAACTGAAATCACTCTAGTATACAGATGAAGAAATGCATCATGGCTAGCACCCCAAATCCCTACTTACATTCTCTTCCAATCACTCCTCAAAAAGGGTACCGCTGTCTTCATGGGGCATATATTAGCTTTGCCACTTTATGTATTTTATATAAATGGAATGGAATGCTATATATGTCTTTGTGTCTGGGTTCATTTGACCAACAATTTCTAAGATTCATTCATATTGTTGCAGATAGTTGTAGATCATTCATTCTCATTGTATAGTATAATGTTTTGCAACTATATCACAATGCCCTTATTCATTCTACTCTTTAGGGGCATTTGAAAAATTTTCAATTACAGATTATAAAACATACTGTTGCTGTGAACATTCATGTACATGTCTTTTGATAAGTATCTGTAAGCATTTCTGTTAGCTGTAGTGACCTGTTGCTTTGTATAAAAGAAATTTCAGGTAGTTCTATATTTGAGAATCAGTTGGAAAATCTTACATATCCTGAGGCTTCTGAAGGCCTTACGCATTTCTAGTTACTCAACACGTCACATTTATTTAAATGATTCTCCGTGTCTCTTAAGAAATTTGAGTTTCAGAGAAAGATTATTTACAAAGCATTAGTCTTCTGGAAGAGAGCTCAGAAATAGCTGCTGCAGCTAGCTCTTCACAGGTGCTGGCTTTGTGTTTAGTTGATTGAGAATGATAGTTGAAAACTGGTTTTATTTTATGTTTTTGTGGATCCCCACACTTTATAAAACAATAAATCATGGTATAAGCTCTTAAGAGTTCCTACCAAATGACAACAAAATTCCTTTAGCTTAGAGGATTTAGCCACTGGTCTCTGCAACATATGCCATGCTTATCACTCTTATTTGTTCAACTAATGTGCTAGGCCCCAGTGTTGCATTTCATTATTACCATGAATTTTAACAAATTGAATGTTAGTGCTCAGGAGACAGATGGATGGTTTGGGTATGTTCTTAGGATAGAACAAATCAAACCAACAAAATGAAATTGTTGCTATTTTCTCTTGCTGGAGAAATGTTGCATCATTTTCATGTGTTCAAGGACGATTGAAATGGCCTTCTTAAAATATTGTCAACAGTACACGGTCCCTGTTTTATTTAGATAAATAAATGCTTTCCTCACTAGCCAGTTTGGCTCAGTTGATAGAGGCGTCGGCCTGTGGACTGAGGGGTCCCAGGTTCAATTCCGATTGGGGGCACATGCCTGGGTTATGGGCTCGATCCCCAGTGGAGTGCATGCAGGAGGCAACCAATCAATGATGATTCTCTCTCATCATTGATGTTTCTATCTTTCTCTCCCTCTCCCTTCCTCTCTGAAATCAATTTTAAAAAAAATAAGGAAAAGAAATGCTTTCCTTTCTTGCTCAGAGAGGGACTCAATAAATTAATGGATGTGGCATACCAAGGATTTCCCTGGGCAAGTTGGAGATGGAGGAGAAGCACTAAAACTTCACTTGGAGTTTCCTCTTTATACAAAAGGAATTATGTAGAAATGGCCCCATCCCAGGTCAGATAAACCAGGGCTGATAAACCAGAAGGGACCTCATAACCAAGGTCTATTTGATTAATTTTGGATGGGTACAATTTGAATAGCTCATCCTAGTCTACCCTCTCAATAGAAAATTGAGGATATTTTTCAACAACATTAACTGCTCTTTGAATTATTCTAAGACAAGTTTTCACCTGGCCCAAACAAAACTTTCAGTTGATCTCTCTGATATTCTGATATAGCATGTTGAGGGGTGCTTTGCTGCTGGGGTCCAACCCCAGCAGGTCCAGGGGTCCCCAAAGGTGTGGACGGAGTCAGCAAAGAAGGAATGACATGGAGACAGCGTTCAGTTGATCAGCAGCCTTGCCAGGATGTCTAGCCACAATCTCCAGTCAAGTTCTGTGTCCATGTTCTCTTGCTAGGTTCTCCAGCCACGTTCTCCAGGTTCTCCAGCTAGGTTCTGTAGCCATGTTCGCTCGCTAGGTTCTCCAGCCAGGTTCAGTTTAGGCTCTCCAGCCAGGTTTGGTCGTCAGGTTCTGTAGCCAGGTTCTTCAGCCAGGTTCTGTCTAGGTTCTCCAAACAAGTTCTGTAGGCAGGTTCTGTCCAGGATCTTTTGCCATGTTCTCTCCAGCGAAGTTCTTCTGTCTCTAGGTTCTGTGTAGGTTCTGTCTTCTGAGTTCTGTCTCTCAGATCTTCATCTAAGTTCTGTGTCCTGA